GTAACAGCACGAGTGTGTAAAAACTGCTGGGTGTGAAAAATTCTGCGTGTAAAGGCATCTGTCTGCAAAACAAATGTGCGTAAAGGCGTCTGTCTGTAACAGCATAGGTGGTTTGCCAACATATCCAATGCAGCTAGCTTCCATGGACATCGTCATTGTGATTGTCACTCAATTGCCAGCCCTGGAGCAACCTCCTGTGGAGAGAAAAATGTATCAAACGTCAAGGTGTTGATGTATGATATTTCATCCGCATTGCTTTACACCAGTCATCATTCAGCATTTATCGTTCATCATTCATCATCCATGATCCATGATCCATGATTCATCATTCATCATTCATCATTCATCATCATCTTCTTTTGTGTTATCTTCTCGTCTCCCCCCTCCTGCTTTCTTTCAGGCCATACTGTCGTCTAGTTGATGTTTATGGAGATTGTGTCAGAGAACGCCTTGGTTTTCCCAGAATTTTCCCACAGGCTTCCATGTGGCAGCGATGGGTGCTTTGGCTGCTAATGGATCAAATCCACACATCAAAAGGCCTTGGAACATGTATATAGTGAGCGCACGCACGCTTGTATCAAATTCAAGCAAGATGAGGTCTACACATGTGGCAGCTGTGAGCGCTTGCTTGGATAGTCCAGCAGCTGGAACAGTTTCTCGCAAGGGCCTAGGATGACGCAAATGTGGATACAAAAACTGATTTTGAACATTTTCAAGCAGTGCCCAGTCCAGATCAAATCAAACTGCCAATCAGATGCATCGGATGATGGATCTTTTGCGGTGCTTACGACTGTGTCTGAAGGGTTTCATCCTCAGCTTCATAGAAGACATTGCAAAAGCAGGACGGAAGGTCGCAGGAACCACAAACAAAGGTGCTGTAGAGTCTAGCTGTGAGGCCCAGGCAAAAAACTCCGCTGTCAGCTGGTAGCTTAACAATTTGAACATTCAAAGGCTGTTAATGTTTGATTGAGCTGAAGGGTTGGACTATGGATTCTAATTTTCATTTCACAACGCTCGAAGCGTGCCAGTCTCCAAAGAAAACATTCAGGACTCTTGTGTATAACAAGAGCCCAGCTGCGCTTGTGACTGTGGCAAGACAGCACCGACAGCACCAAGGAGAAGCTGCACACATCTGGCAAGTCTGGCAAGGATGCTGTAGATTCTGTCAAAAGGCCTTCACATGATCAAGCTCTGCAAGAGTTTTCCAACGATGCTAGGGTGATTTGGTCACTTTGGGTTGCACACTCTTGCAAATTTGGAAATCAAAGACCGTCCGCAGATCCACAGGCCTGAAGTATTTTGTTGGAGCCAGTCACTAAGTTCACCGCGTGAGGCGGCATCTCTTTAATTCCACTTGTTTTAATGCCAGGAAACTAAGTACAATACAGCGTCAATTATTGCAGGCTTTGATAATGCAGAATTGGCATAGGCACGGAGGAAGAACTGATGGCGAGGACCATCTGGGACAGCTTTGTGGAGTCCCCAGTGAGTGACGTGAGTGCTGTACTGAGGTTCAACCATAGCTGCGGACAGCAAGTGGGAAGGGAAACCAGTAGCAGTTGCAGGCTTATACAACCTCCGAACACTTTCTCCGAAGGTCAAGTTGTTGCTGTAACAATTTCACTGTAACAGTTTCAATGTATTTGAGACTCGCCATAGTTTCTATGACTTTCAGTTTTCCGGTTGCAGCGCGCATGACTTGGGGCTTTCTGAGCTGAGGCGACTTCGGGGCAAAAGTGTGGCCAGTGTGAGGCTGGCTGCTCTCTTGACATCAAAAGACGTCTGTGGTCGTCTTAGGATCACAAGATGTCAGAAGGGGCTGCCCCCCGACCCCGGCACAACCTCTCAGAACTGGCGGGGTGAAATGTCAGGACGTTGCATAGTTGTCATTTTATTCCACATTCAAAACTGCCAGGACAAGGTCGCTAGTCTCTTTTGCAATCAATGCGAAGAAGTCTTTTGCAGCAGTTTGGGCCACAACTTGGGCGACGGGGTGTGTTGATCGGTGTGTCGAATGTGTTGATTTCTCGTGGAAAGTGCAATTACGAAGAACCTGGTGGCGGCCATGCAGTTGCAGTGTTTTGACTGAGAAACTTGTGCATAAGCCTGCAATGTTCTGCAATATCTTGCAATCACGTTCATTTGGAACTTGGTTCCGTCACCATGCTTGACCTAATGTCGACTGAGATTGTGCCTCGACGGTCCATCGGCCTTTGGCTCAGTGGAAGCTGTCGCTGGCTCAAATGATGCACCCATTGGCTCATTCCGATGCTTCTGTCGAGCCAAGATTGGGAAGGATGGCCCGGCACAATGTCCAGCAGCTTGAACCAAAGAGACTCTGCCCTTCCACATCAGGCTATTGTTTCCTGTCCAGTGTTACAATTCAGTGGCATCCCCTTGCGAGCTAAATGTTTATGCGTATGTGAGCGACAAAACTTCTGTATAACCACTTTGGTATTGCTTCGCCTTGGCCTTGCGGGTGTGTGTGTGTGTGCAAAACCTTCAGAATTGATAGGGGGCGACCCTATACCAATACCCTTGGTTTTACAATTTAATGAATACACAAATAGTCCCAACCGATAGGGACGGCCCTGTTTGAGTGCGGCGTATTTGACAAGCAAGTAAATTTGTCAGCGACGCGTATACATATATCATATATACACATACACACTGTAGAAATTTCATATTTTATTGTAGGGCTTCACACACCAGCGATGCCCAAGGGGCCCAGTTGTGGTTCCTGTTGTTGTTGTTGTTGTTGTTGTTTGCCTTGTCGTTGAAGGGTCAAGACTCTTCTTCGCTGGCGCGTTCCCCCTTGTTTGGCTGGGGTAATTATTCTAGTAGTTTGGAAACTGCAAATGTGCTGGTACTTTGTTTGGTGTGTGCGTTAGGCTTTCGCTCGCTGTGTTCCTTCTCCAATTCTTTTGAATTATATATTGTTTCCTCACAGTCTCAACCTGTCAATCTCTTCGCCCTGCCAGGCCAGAAGTTGCGGCCATTGAACCGAACTTTTCATGCCTGCCCATACCATCCTGAGGCTCCATGACCTGAGGGACATGAGATATATGTGCATTCTTTTTAGATACAAGAATACACCAAGTTACATCCAGTCAATCCACATGTAATCTATTTGGAGGCCTTTTGCGTTGGATATTGTGATTTTTCTACTATATCTTTTGGCATTCAAAAGAATAGCGGCCCACCAGCAGAATGCAATGATTTCTACAATTTCAAGATCGTAGGTGATAAAAAATCATTCAGTAAATCTAGCGTTCACATGGGGGAAACCATCCAAGGGATGACTTAGGGATGACTTCTTGGAAACAGCGTTGACAATGGGGAAAACCCAAAAGGGACAGTGAGGGATGACTTTCACTTCTACCTGTATATATATATATATATTAGTGCATTTTTAAGATTCATGAAAACTGATATTTGATCCCCAGGTGTATGCTGTTACGGCCGGCCACCTTTTTGAGGTAATTATATAGATCTGTCGACACAAGATTGAGTTTTTCCCAGAACAGTCACGTCACTCACTTCCAGTAAAGTGGAGTGCTATAAGTGAAAACAGTCGAAAGAGCCGTTCTTCCTGAAACCTCTCAGGCTAGGGTTACCTATCTGAGGTTCATCACGCGGACCACGATCCTCCACTCTCCATATAGACGCTAGTGACTAGTGATCTCTATTGAATCCAATGTGGAAACAATTTAATTTGTGGCATGGAGGGAAATGGCAACGCCGAGATTTACAATGCAGCCAGGGCTGTACAGAGAGCTTCTTTCCATACAAGTATATATATATATATATTATATTATACATACCTACAATGCATGCACGCAAGCAAGCACGCACGCAAGCAAGCAAGCAAGCCAGCAAGCAAGCAAGCAGGCAGAAAGACAGACAGACAGACAGACACACACACACAGACACACAGACAGACACACAGACAGACACACATAACATAAGATAACATAACACAACACAACATAACATCACATTACATTACAGTACATTGCATTACATTGCATTACATTGCATTACATTGCATTACATTGCATTACATTGCATTACATTGCATTACATTGCATTACATTACATACGGTTGTCTCAAAGTAGAGGTGCCCATGGCTGACAGCATTGTGTCTTTCTGTATGCTTTTTGTGTCATTTCTCCAGCATAGGATTGAAGAGTGGAACAGGCCAAAAACATACCAGTTGACAAATCGGTCTTCAGCCTTGGATGAACATACATCATGCTGATGCGGACCTTCCCCCTTCCCAATTTTCTTGAAGCAAAGCGGCAACCTTGTTTGATCTTGTTTGCATTTCAAAAAATCTGCTGGTCTGCGGTAGACGGTCACGACTCGACTTTGCACAAAGTTGTCGAGAATTCTTCCGAATCGTTCCATGTTTCCATGGTTCAACGACACGCATGTCTACCCTGGATGATGTGTAGATGCCGTCAGCCCCAATTCTACACTTCGAACCAGGGGGTGCCCCAGCTTTCCATGTTTAATTGACAAAGACAGGCGTGGGCCATGCAAAAACCAACAACCACAGCCAAGACAACCCTCCAAACGGAACCACACCAAGGTCCCCATCCAACAAAGGATCTCGTACATGACAAATTTCCGTGTAACTATCCTAGACAAAGGTGTTCCATTTCAACATATTTTCAACTACTAGTAGTACACATGTTCTGCAAAGATCTGCAAAGTACCCCAAAGCGAAGCGCACAGCACACCGGAACAAAGTAGGAGGAAGTACCATGAAGTGCTGCGAAGTGCCGCGGAGGGAGTACTTTGGATGGCTAGAATGTTCCTCAAACTGAGCACTGGGGTGCCAAGCACTAAGATAATATTTAGACAGAAAAAGTATTACGTAGTATGTAATGCAGCAGTCACTGTTGGGTTTCAATCTCCGGGTCTGGGGCTGGTGCTCAGTTCTCTTGCCGGGCCCCAGGGCACGGCACCCTGGAACCCTCAAACCCTGGAACCTGCTGTTGGGTTGCGAAGCTGGGTTAATTGGAAGCACTGAAAAGGGCTGCGGACTGCTACTGAGTATTCAAGCTGGCGCAATCTGCGCCCAGGCAACCCTGCCACAAGCTGTCTCATAGAAAAAGTATCGCACCGATGAGTGCTGCACGAAGTGCTCCCCCGGATAGTCTAAACCAGTTCCTATGTCTACTTAGCCAAGGAACTTTTCGCCTGATCCAGAAACCATAATATGTTGCATTCCATTGGGGTCCCAATTGGTTTGCCGCTGTGAAGGAGCCTCTGAATTACTTCTGTATTGAATGCCAGTGCTGCTCCTCGGATCTCAGTCCTGCAAATTGTACAAAACGAGCCCGTGGTTACTTGACTTCGTTGTGCTGGGCTGTGCTTGATGCTGAGATCGGAGTGCATCTGCGCCGAGTGTTGCTTGCATGGCAAGCACCGCGGTCACGAAGTCCAATGCGTTTTGGAGGCTGCCTCCCTGCCAAGAGTTGTGACGAATTTTATAGTTGAGCCAGTTTTGGTTCACTTTTTGCGTTCTTGCTGCTGTCGCATTGTGACACCTTGGGTCAAGACTGACACAAACTGAATTGGAGGCAGTTAGCGCAACTGACAAAAATGTGGAGTGCCTAGTCCCACTTCTGAGCCTTTTCGCTCAAGTTATCCTGGGCTTTGCTTCATGGCAACCTTTTTGAATCTGCTGTCCCTTCCAAGGTGGAAGAACTTCGTGCAGCTCTTTGTGCCCAAGAGGATTCGTTGAAATCTATGGTGACCCAAATTCAAGAGAGAAGGCTGATGTTGCTGTGAGACAGACTCAAGTTGACAGATTTTGGCAGTGGAGTCACTGTCACACACACACACATGTTTCTGGACCTTGTTGCCGTCTCACCTGTGTGTGTGAGAAAAAGAAGGAAGCAACCCTGTAGCAATTTCTGGCAAGCTTTTGAGAAGGTGGTTGAAACTAATCTGATAAAACTAGTAGATTCCTCACTCTTGTTGCTAGCATTATCAATGCAGGCTTGAGCTGGCGCGAGCTTTGGCAGAGTGTCAGCAGGACAGAGTGTTATCATGTCCAGAACATGCACCATAACAAACTGGGTTGGCTCGGTCCTGGCTGCTTACATGCGCTGATCTCTGTCTTTCAGTCATTGATGGGTACATATGTTTAGAAAAAGGATGGGGAGTTGCGAATTTTTCAAAGGGATTGTCCACCAATTGAACCAATATCAATTTCGAAGCTAATATCCTTCTAATCTGCATACTTGATAGCTTCGATAGCTTCGAGAAATTCGGCGACAGCCATTTTCGTAGTATAGAAGACCTTGGACCAAGATGGCCTTCAAATTCCTTTGCGAGTGTTGGCAGTCATTCCCATCTGCAGATCTCTACAGTGCGTATGGAATCTTATGACATGTGATAGCCACGTTTGAATCTGAGAACGTCTCAGAAACTTTGGCAGTAAATGCTGTCATGTCCGGTTTGATGGTTTGCAGGACATGCGAATGGCTTTGCAGAAGGCGCACACAGCAGTAAAACAGGACGCCCAAGGAAGCAACACTAGTATAGCAACGTAGACAGAACATATTTCAGTACATTATTGAAGAACCAGTGATTCATGCAGAGGATTTGACATGTTTTGACATGTTTTGACATGTTTTGACATGTTTCGACAGTGGCTTTGGTCTGGAGTCTAGAGTCTTTCGAGAGTCGCTTCGAGGAGGAAGGAAGATGGTTGCAGGAAGCGCAGGATGCAGAGAATGTTGACATGTCAACCCTTTTCCCACAAGCCGAGGCGGAACCGAACTGTGTAGCCTCGGAAGAGTTGCGTACATATGAAAATCCAGCCCACCCCATACCATCCACACCCAAAAAATCATAGCACCATTCAATTCATTCCCTACCCATGGCACACACTCCGACTCATCCCAGTCAATTCACAACAGAACAGGTGCTGACATGTGCTGACAATGACTGCTGACAGGTGTGCCAACAAACTTGGAACACTGTGCAAACATGCAAATGTTGGAAGATTCAGAAATCCCAGAAGGCTCAGAAGGCAATATTGTTCGCGCGATGAGTTGATTGGTTCCTTCACAAACACGACCGCAGAACAGTGTGTGAATCTTGTCGCCTCGAAATAGTCCTCGTGCCCCGACACATTCCTGTGATGTTTTTATTGCTCGACCCGAATTCGTACTCCAGTGCTGCTACAGGGCGGGATTGGAGAGCTGCAAAGACAGCTTTCCATGTTTGGGGCCCGGCATATTGCTCATTGCTCATTGCTCATATTGCTTGAGGATGCTTGAGGTATCAATGTTCCAAGTTGCCATGCCAAGCCTTTCGCCTTGCATTCTGCAACTCTCTGCCTTTTCTCTGACATATCTCGGCCTTGTCTTCGTGCCGAGGTCCTTTCAGTCTGGTGACCCTGTGCACACACTTGTGTGGTTCGCCAAGTTGAAAGAGGATGCGGGGCCCAGGGAGCTTGCACCAGCTTGTGGCAGCTTGGTTTCCGTCCTCTTTAGGCCTCAAAGATTCAACATATCATAGCGACTATATATATATACATACATACATATAGTTATCAGATGTTATCCGAAAAGGGTATTGTGAGTGCTAAAAAGCAACATTTTGGGCTTTAGGTATGTATTTTTGGGTGTTAAAGCTTGTGAATTGCCTACAATTTGGGCTTTTGACTGCTTCCATTGTCTCAAGAATCCTCTTGTCAGCATCGATGGTTACAAAACCAACAAAAAGACAAAAAATGAAACAAACAACAACAAAAATGGACTAGTTTTTTTTGTTGTTTTTGTGGTGTTGGATTAATCAGATTAATCCAGATTAATCCTGAAAAATATGGCAATGTAACACTTGCTTGTAATACCGTTGGTTTTCATAGGTCCACTGTATATACGGCATAATTTTCTTCGACAAAAAAATGCATTTTTCAAAGGAATGGTCTGCTGTATTCACAGAAGTTTTTTGCACATGCTGAAAGACGACTTGAGAGTAATGTTGCGCACTCAAAAACACTTTTGTTGCAGAATTGCTGTACTTTTTGAACACATGTTGCATAAATTGGCGGTACACTTTCCTGAAGTAATATCACCATCTTCTCAAGCACTGTTGCATCATCGATTGAATCTGCTGTAGGCTCGTGTGACACTTTCTTGGAGGGATGCTACACAGATTTGCCCAGAACTCTTCACTTGTTAAGATTATATATATACACATATGTATACACATGTGCATCTTCAAAGGAAGGCTTTCCTTGATTGACACAGATTTTGCACAGTTTGCAGTAATATGGCAATCTTTTCAAGCAAATGCTGCACTAGTTTGACAGAGATATTGCAGATAATTATGCTACTGCACTCTTTGCACAGGCATGTAGCACTTGTTTACAGCAACCACTTTGTTTTGCATTGTTTCAAGCAATACTCTACGTTGTTTACAAAGATATTGCACACTTTGAAGGCCTTTTGAAGGTCACATAGCACCCTTTTCAAAACAAAACAACCTTTCCATAGAATAGCTGTACTCTTTGAAAGGACATATTGTAAAAGTTAGTGCTGCACTTGCTTTAACACCAAAAACATCTTTTAAAAGAGCGTTTGCATCATCAATGGAATCAACAGTAGGCTCTTACCACACTTTCTTACAGGAATGCTCACACTTTGGAAACAAGAATCTGCACTTTCAAATGTAAACCACATGTTTCAATGAATGTGCCACTTTATTGACAAAGGTTTTGCAGGGTTTAGAGGGCCCTTTGACAGTGAGATTGTACTCTTTTCAAACCATGCTGTAGCAATTAAGAAACAAACACATTCAATCTTGCAAACCAGCATACTCCATCTTTCTTCAGGAATGCTATGATTTCTGAAATGATTCAGTACATATATGGGAGGGTGTTCCCTGAAATTGGGAAGTAATGCTACACATCTTTCAAAGAATGCAACAATTTTTGCAACGGGTTGTTGCATACATTGAGGAATAGTGTTTTTTTTGTGCAAAGTCAATTGACACGTATTGTTTGCAAATTTAATTGTCCTTCATTACTTGTAGAGAACATATTGCATGAATTGGTGCCTATTTAAAATGCACATGTTTAAAATGTTACTTATCTTTCAAACAATGCCTCCATTTTTTCAAAGGGTTGTTGCATACATTGAGGAATGGTGTTCTTTATGCAAAGTCATTTTACACGTGTTGTTTGCAAATCCATTTTTCCTTCGTGGTTTATAGAGAACATATTGCATGTGTTGGTGCTTGTTTAGAATGCACATTTCTTAAAGAACTATTGCATATGTCGAGGGAAACTCCTGTAGAGATGTAGAGTCTAGAGTCTATACGCAACGCTGCACTCTTTGCAAAGGCCTTTTGTACCTGTTTGTTTTGTTGTTTTTATCTAGTATTCATGTTTGTTTTGGTTAAATCCATGTATTTATGTATTCTCTGGGAGAGCTATTGGGAATGCACAGTGGTTGTTTTTGTTGCAAAAGCAACAATGTTTGGTTTTTCAAAGAACCGGGTTTAAATCTGTTAGTTTTGTATATACATATATTATACAACACTATATATATATTATAACATCCTCCTTGGAAAAATCTCTATAAAATAGATCACCGGGGGGTACGATTCTATAGAGATGAGGCTGGTAGGCCAGTGTTTACTATAGGAATGGTACCTGGATTGCGCCCATGCAGTTTACATACCCAAAAGTTACACCAAACTTGAGGCATTGCAAACCCAGTTTTCTATTCTATAGGGGGTCTTTTTCCTAATCACTTGGACTCAGGTTTTCATTTTATAGTGGATTGTTTGTTAGATTTTGTTACAAGCAGTGGCCAGTATGATTAGCCTCATACTGGCCACCGCTTCTAACAAATAATCCACTATAGAATGAAAACCTGGGTCCCAGTGATTAGGAAACATGCCCCCTACAGAATAGAACCCGCTATTTCCAAGGCCCAAAATGTGGTTCACGTTTGGGCTAGCACCTTTCAAAAATCCTTGGGAACCATTTTTAGAAGAGTGGTTGGATCTCCATTTTAAAGGAGCAGCCCTGCACAAAGCTGATTCGTTAACAGTGTTGACCACTTATTCGTATACAATATGTTTCAATATTTTACAGTATTATTGCATATTATTGCCCACTGACACCCCCCCTTCCACTCCTATAAAATGAAAACCCAGCCTCATACCCACCGCTTCAAACAAATAATCCACTATAGAATGAAAACCTGAGTCCAAGTGATTAGGTGCCCCCTATAGAATAGAAACCGCTATTTCCAAGGCCCAAAATGTGGTTCACGTTTGGGCTGGCACCTTTCAAAAATCCTTGGGAACCATTTTTAGAAGAGTGGTTGGATCTCCATTTTAAAGGAGCAGCCCTGCACAAAGCTGATTCGTTAACAGTGTTGACCACTTATTCGTTTACAATATGTTTCAATATTCACGTCGCTTCGCGACGGCAACCGCCCGCACCGCATCGTTGGGCAGCCGCTCGTAACTGCCAATGATGTCGGCCATTGAGACCAAAATCATCCGAAAGTACCGATTGTCGGAAAAAAAAACGCGAAGAATTTGATAGCCATGTATAGCGGACCAACACAGTTCAAAAAATAACGAAAAACATGAAAAAACGGCGAAATTGCTGTTATTTACAGTGTTTTTGCGCGGTGAGAAGCAGAAACCACTGCAAATACCATGGTTTTCGAGGGTCAGGTGGCCAAAAACACTGTAATTTACAGTGTTTTTTTAACCAACGTCAAAAAACACTGGTATTTACGATGTTTTCATTCACACCGTAACATAAAACAGCGTAATTTACGAGGTTTTTGGAAGTTTTGAAGCTAGCCGTCAAGCATGCAGAAAACAGAAAAACACTGTAAAAACCAGTGTTTCTGCTATCACAAAACGACGAAAATCAGTCCGAAAACGGGTCCAAAAACTCAAAAATCCGCCTCCGGGCCAGGCCACCTGCGGAACCGCAAAAAAAGATGTTGCAAACCAAAAAATTGAGGTCAAAAAGTTGAAAAACACGGGTTTTTTTCACTTTTCGCTTGCCGATTTTGGACGGGCGCGTTCACGAACAGGTGTCTTCCGTACTGTTTTTTACAGTGTTTTTTGAAGGCGAGCGTCACGACCTATCAAAAACAGGAGGTTTTGGACGAAAAATGCCCCCCCCCCAGGTAAACCTGTAACCTTTTTACGAGTGCCATCCGGAAGATCACGCCCCAGCACCTTCGGTGCGGGCGGATTTTACAGTATTATTGCATATTATTGCCCACTGACACCCCCCCTTCCACTCCTATAAAATGAAAACCCAGCCTCATACCCACCGCTTCAAACAAATAATCTACTATAGAATGAAAACCTGAGTCCAAGTGATTAGGTGCCCCCTATAGAATAGAAACCGCTATTTCCAAGGCCCAAAATGTGGTTCACGTTTGGGCTGGCACCTTTCAAAAATCCTTGGGAACCATTTTTAGAAGAGTGGTTGGATGTCCATTTTAAAGGAGCAGCCCTGCACAAAACTGATTCGTTAACAGTGTTGACCACTTATTCGTTTACAATATGTTTCAATATTTTACAGTATTATTGCATATTATTGCCCACTGACACCCCCCCTTTCACTCCTATAAAATGAAAACCCAGCCTCATACCCACCGCTTCCAACAAATAATCCACTATAGAATGAAAACCTGAGTCCAAGTGATTAGGTGCCCCCTATAGAATAGAAACCGCTATTTCCAAGGCCCAAAATGTGGTTCACGTTTGGGCTGGCACCTTTCAAGCAAAAAAAACTTGGGAACCATTTTTAGAAGAGTGGTTGGATGTCCATTTTAAAGGAGCCGCCCTGCACAAAACTGACCTGTTAACAGTGTTGATTACTTATTCGTTTGCAGTATGTGTCAATACTTTACAGTATCGCAGAGTATTTACAATATTATTGCCCACTGACACCTCCCCTTCCACTCCTATAAAATGAAAACCCAGCCTCATACCCACCGCTTCTAACAAATAATCCACTATAGAATGAAAACCGGAGTCCAAGTGATTATAAAATGGAAATCCAACCCCCCTCTATAAAATAGTCACCAAGTAGATTCTTTTGTGGAATGGTGCCAGCCCAGATCCAAAAAGTGAAACCAAACTTAAGGCATTGCAAACCCAGTTTTCTATTCTATAGGGGGTCTTTTTCCTAATCACTTGGACTCAGGTTTTCATTTTATAGTGGATTATCTGTTAGAAGCAGTGGCCAGTATGATGCTGGGTTTTCATTTTATAGGAGTGGCAGGGGGCTGTTGGTTTTCTTGGCTTTCTATTCTATAGGGAAAATCCCCCCCCTTAGTCCTGGGTTTGCGTTTTAGTCCCTATAGAATGGAACCCCCAGGTTTGGTTCGAATTCCAACAGGGATATTATAACACAATATATATATATATATTATAACACTATA